CCCGGCAGGTCGAGGCTGCGGTGGGCGGGAGCGGCCACTGCACTCCAGTCTGGGCGACAGAGTGAGACTCCAACGCAAAAAAAACAAAAACAAAACAACAAAAAAAGCAGAATGTTGGGCTCCATCCCAGACCCATTAAATCAGAGTTTGCATTTTAACAAGACTCCTAGGTGATTTTTCTGCACATTGTTTGAAAAGCACTGATCTATATCAGAATGAGGCAATGCTTGTGGAAACAATTTCTAAATTAGGCACTAATTTAAAAGTAAATGCTTTAAAAAAAAATCACACAATATATGTTCAAACCAATTAGGAGTCCAGCACAATGCTGCTCAAGAAACTAGGGCTTGATAGGTATTTTTGAATGAGTGATATCTATACGAGTAACTAACATTAGCTGAGCACTTACTATGTGCCAAGTAATATATGAGGCTCTTTGCATGTGTTAACTCATTTAATTCTCACAGCTACTTATGGGGTAGGTACAATATTTTAATTTTTTCCATTTTGTTGATGAAGAAAATATTGAGAGACAGAGGCTTAATAACTTGCCCAGTGTCTCATAGCTAGCAAGAGCTAGAATAGAGAACCCAAGTAACTAGGTTCCAGAATTCATGCATTTAATTGCTGCCATGGATTGGAAGGATGAATGAAAGAATGGTTCCCCAAAACCCAAGCTGTTTACCTGAATCTGTTTCCAGATGATGCACCAAGTTTTCTGAGGGAAATAGAAATAGAAATCTGTGACTTATTTCTTACAGGCACCACCAAGGGCCGGGTGTTCTGAATACAATGTGAGGACAGGGATGGGAAAAGGCTCGGCTTCTGCTGTGCTCTAGTGAGAGAGAAGTGGTGGTCCTCACTCACCTTCCTAACTCTCAGTCCAGTGCCTCTCCTTAGGGAGTGGAGGAGATGCTCTAGGGGATGAGGCCCCTGAGTGAACTGGGGTCACTAAGGGATGGCTCCGGGAAAGGAAAATGTCTTGAGCAGTTTTTGAGGGTGGAGAAAGATGGAGGTGAGTGGAAGGTAGGAGGGCAATTAACAGGAGTGAGAAAGTGGCGGGTCCCTCCCCTTTACCCGAGAATGTCCTCATCATCTCTGGGAGGGCGAGTGTTTTTCTGTGGAAATCGCGGATCTTCTTGGCAAGATCAGGAGAAATGGTCTCTGGACTCACAAAAGTTTTCGTCTCACACCTGCAGACAAGTTGGTAACCAGTTAAGTCCAAATTCCAAAAATAATGTTTGGATGATACAGACCAATGAGGCTAGAATCAGAATAAAGAATGGTCTTGGGTCTTTGGCGAATAATTAGACTGAGTATTATTTCTTTACTTTTGCTGGAAATGTATGGTTACTCAAGGAATAGGCATTTCAGTTAGATCTAAGGGGAACTAATGGTAACCACGCCTCAAGAATGGGAGGTAGCCCTTTAGGAGAACGTTTGGGACTGTGGGGGCCGGACGGAGCCAGAGATCATTACCCCTATTAGCCACTAGAGGACAATATGGTACAATTTAAAGGACTGCCTTAATGGATTCTTCCTCATTTGTGGACTGACATTTTTAAGGGGAAAGAGGATAGAAGGGAAGGGAAAAAAAGATAAAATATATATCCCAAAGAAAAAGCCCCTGATTCTGGCCCTAGGGCAGTCCTCGTTAAGCACTGGCTGTGTGGCCTTGAGCAAGCTATTCACATCTTGGGTCTCCACTTCATTAGACTAGAAGAATTCCTGGTCTAAATATCTAACAGTCTTTGAAAAGTATGTTTGGGGACCTCCTGACTCATGGACACTTGGATTTATTCCCTCCCTACACATAAATAGGCACAAAGCACGTGGCAGGTGTTCCTACGTCTTTTTTCATCTCTGTGCAGACTGCTAATACTTATAACAGAGAGGAAAGGAAGGGGCATCCATTTACAATGCCTCCAAGCTCCTAGGGCTGTCCTTTCAAAGTAGCATTAGCAAATTCTGAAGGAAAAAGAAGTTAAGTTGTAAAAATGAAAGAAAGAAAAGGGCAGTCTTCTCAGGTTCTATGCCTATCACAGTTTATAGAAAGTATTTCCCCTTTTGAACTACATTTTTTTTTTTTTTTGAGTTGGAGTCTCACTCTGTCGCCCAGAGTGCACTGGAGTGCAGTGGCCGCTCCCGGCCACCACAGCCTCGACCTGCTGGGCTCCGGCGATCCTTCCACCTCAGCCTTCCGAGTAGCCAGAATTATAGGCATGCGCTACCACGCCCAGCTGATTTTTTGATTTATTGTAGAGATGAGGTCTCGCTGCCCAGGCGGGTCTCGAACCCGCGGGCTCAGGCAATCCGCTCACCTCAGCCTCCCAAAGGCGCGGGATTACAGGCTGAGCCACCGAGCCCGGCTATCGAATTACATTTTAAATGGTGTTAGAGACCGACTCAGGTACTAATAATATCACGGATTAAATAGATGTTCCCAGATCACCCCAAAAACATGATTATTATTTGCAACTTCACTTCTAAGGGAAAAAATTTGCACTCAATACCAACCAACTGGTTTAAAAATAAGCCTTTAGTGCCGGGCTCGGTGGCTCAGCCTGTAATCCCGCGCCTTTGGGAGGCTGAGGTGAGCGGATTGCCTGAGCCCGCGGGTTCGAGACCCGCCTGGGCAGCGAGACCTCATCTCTACAATAAATCAAAAAATCAGCCGGGCGTGGTAGCGCATGCCTGTAATTCCGGCTACTTGGAAGGCTGAGGCGGAAGGATCACCGGAGCCCAGCAGGTCGAGGCTGCGGTGGCCGGGAGCGGCCACTGCACTCCAGTCTGGGCGACAGTGAGACTCCAACTCAAAAAAAAAAAAAAAAAAAAAAAAAAAAATAAGCCTTTAGAGCATAACCTTAAGTTTGGACTGTTTATGTATGAGTGAATGAGACAAGTGTATCTCTCACTGTAGCCATCCATAAGGGGAGGTGGGTGGTTGGTGAGTGTCTCCTCCCTGCCCCCCCGAACACCTTCAGGTGGGACTGGGTAGTGGGCCCTACCTGCTCTGGTTGACTCTGATATCCTACAAAAGAAAGACAAGAACAGACACTTAATTTCCACATGTCCTTCCTGTCAGAGATTCTGTACATCCATTCTTACTTCAAATATCAGCTCAAAACTCTCCTCCTCCAGAGAGTTGTATCTATTTAATTACCTACTCATTAGACTGTTCTTTTACAGCAAGCTTTCTTTCTAATTTGGGACTCTGTAGTCAGTTCATTTATGCTGGTTCTCTCTCTCAGCCTTATCCTTGAGTCATCAGCTGGACCTGATGTGACCCAGAATCACATAATGACAAACACAACAGGCACCATTTATTGAGTTGTGTATGTACCAGGGACCATGAGAAGCATTTTGCATGGATTGTTTCTTATAATTTTTGCAACAACCCTATAGGGAGGTGCTATTAGTATCTCCATTTTAGAAATTGAGAGATTCATCCGAGTCACATAGTTGGAAGAGCCAGCACTCAAACCCAAGACTGTCTGACCTCAAAGCCCTTAACATGACCACAGTGTATGACTTATGCAAGTCTTCAGTCCTTCTGGATCTGCAACTCCATAACCTCTCTGGACTAAAGGAACCAGATAACCAACAGTCTTTCCCATTGGAAATAATAACTACTTCCCTTTCCTATCTCCCTCCAGCCTACAGCATGGCACTCCCTTCTTATAGAATCACTTTCCAATCCCACAAGGGAGTGAGGGTGTCTCTCACTTGTAGAAGCTCACTTGCTGGTCGCTGACACTTCTCTTCCAGCTCCTTGACCTGAACTTCAAGCCGGGTAACCTCCTCAGAGATCTTTGTGTTGTACTCATCCCTCTCCTTCCAGATCTGCTGCTCCAGCACCCTCAGCCTGGCCAGCAAGAGACAACGCTGTTCCCCTAGCTCCTGCTGCAGCCTCTCAAAAGCTGCTTCTACCTGTTGCTTCTTGTTTTCAATCTGAGTCTGCAAGAAATAGAAAGACAGACATTAGGAAGGTGCTCAGAGCTGGCGTCCAAAAAGATCATCTGTATACTTATTAGGAGGAACAGGAAGTAACTATTATAGTTCCAAGTAACTAATTCAATGGTAGAAGTAGATGAACTTACCAATGATGAGTGCTGTGCTATTGTCTTAGCCAGAGATAATGATAATAATGCCACATTATGCTCTCAGAGCCATGTTGAATGTTTCAAAAATCTTTCCACAACTATGATAACTTCTTAACCCTATCATACCTTCTTAGAGTTAGGTGGAGATGAGTGTAAGTCACTTTTAGAGAGCAACTGAGACAAAAGGAGTCAATGCAACTTAGTGGAAGAGTGTGTGATGTTGGTTTTAGCCATGGAGGTCACCATCTATATAGGTCATACTTGGATGGAAGTTGAGGGATGTGGGAGGGATCATCCTGTTCCCACACTCTGTCTCCAGAGTAAAGTTACCAGAAATTCCCATACTGTGATTTCCTCCTTGATAATTTTGTAGCAAGAGAAAAGAAGTACGAGGGAGTCAGATATAGCCACACCATTAGCCTGCTGTCCTCAGGGCCAGCCTTGTGGTCAGGACTAGAATCCAGACGCCAGTATACACCTTCTGACCCCGAGTTTTCATCTGAAGGTGGTGTGTTCAGGCAGGCAGACAGAGATGGAAAGAGCAATGGACTAAATATCAAGAGACCCAGATTCCAGTCTTTTCATCATTAACTTGGGCTTTGCCCAAGTGTGGCTTTGGAAGCATCACTTTTTGGGACCTCAGTTTTCTGCTCTGTAAAAAGTGGCAGATAAGATGGATTTTGGATTAGAAGACATCAGACCCACTTCCAGCTGTGACGTTCTGAGATTCCAAATGCCTTTGTGCAGAAGCAAGAAGGTGAATGAGAGCAGTTTGCTAATCCAGTTCTTCCCAGGCAGGCAACAGATACCAACAAACAGGCTCCCCAGAGTCTGTTACGAAAACCTATAAAGGAAAAGGTGGCCAATGTCATGGCCCTTACCAGAAGCACTTGGAGCTTCTGGTCTTCTTGACACTTTGTGTCCTCAATCTCATTTTTCTCTGTGCTCAGAGCTTCCAGCCGACTCTTAAGACGATCCTGTGAGAAGAATGGGCAGAAAGAGGTGACTGAATTAGTAATTCAATGCACAAATATTAATTGCCTACCACATTCCGAGCACACTATGGAGTGCTGAGGGATTCGAAGGTGAAAAGGACCCAGTTCTTGTGCCTGAAGAAACCACCATCTAGGGCAGGTCACGAGTGATTAAAATAGATAAACAGCTGGGCTCGGTGGCTCAGCCTGTAATTCTGCGCCTTTGGGAGGCTGAGGTGAGTGGATTGCCTGAGCCCACAGGTTTGAGACCCGCCTGGGCAGGTGAGACCTCATCTCTACAATAAATCAAAAAATCAGCCGGGCGTGGTAGCGTGTCCCTATAATTCCGGCTACTTGGAAGGCTGAGGTGGAAGGATCGCCGGAGCCCAGCAGCTTGAGGCTGTGGTGGCCGGGAGCGGCCACGGCACTCCAGTCTGGGCGACGGAGTGAGACTCCAACTCAAAAAAAAAAACAAAAAACATAAATATATATATACACATATATATATGTTTTTTTGTTTGTTTTTTTGTTTGTTTATACATATATATAGATAAACAAATGCAATAGTCAAGATGTGCACACAATGAGATAGAAACACAGACGACAGTTCTGCTCAAAAGGCAAAGGGAAGGTTTTAAAAAGCCTCAAACAAGCCGGGCTCGGTGGCTCAGCCTGTAATCCCACGCCTTTGGGAGGCTGAGGTGAGTGGATTGCCTGAGTCCACGGGTTCAAGACCCGCCTGGGCAATTTGTCAAGACCTCATCTCTACAATAAATAAAAAAATCAGCAGGCATGGTAGCGCGTGCCTGTAATTCCAGCTACTTGGAAGGCTGAGGCGGAAGGATCGCCGGAGCCCAGCAGGTCGAGGCTGCAGTGGCCTCTACCTGGAGCGGCCACTATACTCCAGTCTGGGCGACAGAGTGAGAATCCAACTCAAAAAAAAAAAAAAGCCTCAAACATTTCCAGTGGACCCTGAAAGATAAATGTCCAGTTGGCTGGAAAGGGAGAGAAAAATACTAATGCCTCTGAACTGTATACTTAAAAATGATTAACATAGTAAAAGCGGCAGGGGGTGAGGGGGAGGTAGGTGGGTAGGGGAGGCAAAAGGGTGGGGAGATGAGGATAGAAGAGTGTTCTAGGAGGAAGAAACCATGTGCAAAAAGTATTAGAAGAAAGAATGAGCTGGGCTCGGTGGCTCAGCCTGTAATCCCGCGTCTTTGGAAGGCTGAGTGGATTGCCTGAACCCGCGGGTTCAAGACCTGCCTGGGCAACTTGGCGAGACCTCATCTCTACAATAAATCAAAAAATTAGCTGGGCATGGTAGTGCGCACCTGTAGTTCCAGCTACTCGGAAGGTTGAGGTGGAAGGATTGCCGGAGCCCAGCAGGTTGAGGCTGCGGTGGCCGGGAGTGTGCCACTGCCCTCCAGCCTGGGTGACGGAGTGAGACTCCAACTCAAAAAAAAAAAAAAAAAGGAGAAAGAATGAATATGACAGTTCAGGAAATAACAAGGACAGCTGAATCTGGCTAGACACGTGGCACCTTGAGGAGGGCTGCTGAGAGATGAGACAGGACAGAGGGGCAGGATCCTGACTGCAAAGGACCTTGAATGCCTTGCTAAAAACATTGGATTTTCTCTGGGCACTAGGGATACATGGAAGGATTTTGAGCAGAGGAGTGATAGGATTGCCCTTGTGTTTTAGGAGGATCTGCCCCCCAGCAGATTGAAGGGTGACTGGAAAGGGTGAGAATGGAGACAGGGCATGGTTGGAGATTGCAAAGTCTGGGTGAGAGGTGATGAGAGCCTGGATGTGGGGATAAAGTAGAATTCAAGAGATGTTTTGAGGAAACTACTTCCAGAGCTGGTGATTGAATAACAAGAGAGAGATCCAAGAAGCAAAGAGAAACAGCGTCCCCAAGGCCAGGTGGGAAATTCTCCTAGTGCTGCACAACTGCCGCCCTCTTCTTTCTCAATAAGAAAAGCAGCATATGCAGGTTGCTCTTCCCTGCGTTTCCCTCTCATGTAGAGCTGCAGTGGGCAGGGCCTTGTAAATCCCACAACCAGTCTGGATCATGGGATAACAAGTTCACCCTACCCATAACCTGCAGGGGAGCCCATTGGCACTGGGGCCCTCTTTCTACACTTAGTGAAGGCCATGGCTACAGTTTGTCGCACTCCGACTGCGTGGTCCTCTGAGGGCTGGAATGGAAGTTCTCCCTGAGACCAGGGACTCCCATGCATCCAAGTGGAGCTGCATCCCCCTTCAGTCTGGGCGTGTCCCCAGTGGATCGATCCCCTGACATGGAAGCCTGGCTCTTCATCCAAATTCTTTCCACCCACAACAGGATGTTGTCCTGTCCCAAATCAGCCCAAGGTAAAGCCTTGTTGCTGCTTCTTCTTCTTTTTTTTTTTTTTGAGTTGGAGTCTCACTCTGTCGCCCAGACTGGAGTGCAGTGGCCGCTCCCGGCCACCGCAGCCTCGACCTGCTGGGCTCCGGCGATCCTTCCGCCTCAGCCTTCCAAGTAGCTGGAACCACAGGCGCGCGCTACCACGCCCGGCTCATTTTTGATTTATTGTAGAGATGAGGGCTCGCCAAATTGCCCAGGCGGGTCTCAAACCCGCGGGCTCAGGCAATCCACTCACCTCGGCCTCCCAAAGCGCGGGATTACAGGCTGAGCCACCGAGCCCGGCTAAGCCTTGCTTCTTACCCGGTAGGGCTGAATGGCCTCATCAAGGAACCCCACAGTGTGCGCCTGGTGGGAGGGGCCCTCCCGGCAAAACACACAAAGGAACTCAGCATCGTTCTCGCAGAAGAAGTAGATCTTCTCGCCGTGCTCCTCGCAGTAGGTCTCCCCAAGCGGGCCCAGGGGCACGGGGGCCATAGGGGTCTCTGGGTGCTCCTCCTCCGTGCAGAGCGGGCAGAGCAGGACCTTGCCCGAGGGTTGGGCCCCCATCGGGGAGGGTAGGGGCAGGCAGTGCCGGCAGAAGGTGTGTCCACAGGGGACTGTCACCGCATCCTCCAGGGATCCCGCGCAGGCGGGACAGGTGGCAGCCTCGTGGACCACCTGCAGGGAGGGGGATGAGGGCATCACGGTGCCTTTTCCAGCCTGTCAATTCAGGCCTCTGCCTCGGTCCGCACGAATTTCCTTTCCCTGAAATTGAGTTGCATTTAAATGAGTCACCGAGGAAAAGGACTACGAGGCTGGGGGTGGGGGTTGGGGGGAGTAGAGACAGAGAAAGAGAAAGGAATGTCAGCATAGGGAAGTCACCCCTGGCTCCGCCTCTTGCTCCCCAGTACCCTCAGCCGCCACCCATCAGCTGTGTGGGTCCAAACTCCAGGGCATCTCAAATTACCCAGCATTTCTTAGTGGCGACCAAGTAGCTGGTTCCCCACTCCTTCTGGTTCCTTCTGGTTCCTGGGGTGGGGAACAAAGCACACCATGAGGTCACAGGGAGATGGGATTTCCGGGAATCCCTTGTGGGTGGGAAGAGTTGGGGTGGAGACACTTCCTGTCAGATTGAGCAGGTGGGAGCCATAAACTTCGGGCTCTGAGGCGGGTCTGCAGCATCAAAGTCCAGACTGGAGTGAGAGGTGTTGACTTCCTGAGACTCTGGGTGGGGCGGTAGCGGGGAAGGGGGGTGGGGGGAGGCTGTTCAGATACTGCAGGTCAGGATATAAGAATTGCTCATGGTTCCCTTCTTCTGCTCTCCTTTCCTCGCCTCTTCTCTTTTGCCCTTGCGGAGTTTCCTGTCCTCCTAAATTCCCCACCACCAGCACCACAGACCCCACTGGAGTTTGAGTAACAGTGGGCTTCCACTTTATTTTTTTTTACTGTGGGTGAGAGAAAGCAAGAAACCATAAAGCAAATGACTTATATTGATAAACGCTGGAAAACAGTAAGTCAAAAAGATAAATAGTTTTAACCACATTTATCTAGGGTTTTGTATTTTTAAATTATTACATCTGATTTGAATAACATCCCTCTGGGCAAGTATCATTATTTTTATTTTTCAGAGAAGGAAATGTAAACTGATTGGTAAGGTGACTTTCCAAAGGTCACATGTGAGCTGGAGAACTACAGGGCCAGGGACAATCCCAGTCTCCTGGCTTCAAGCCTGTGCTCTTCCCCTGTGCCAAGACTAAGACCTAACCCCACAGTTCATTCACTCGCTGCACCTGTGGATGAAACCAGGCCCGTCTCCATTCTCCCACGAGTGATCAGCCCAGCATCCTTCTATTTTTACTCCAACTACTTTGTGCACCTCTTCCCCTTCCCACCCTTCCTTCACCCTCCCCTCCTAGAGGGCAGCCCTGGAGTTACATTGGCGTGAGCACGGAAATGTGGCCAGGCTGAACTAAAGTGTGCTGTATGTGTAAAACACACACCAGATTTCAAAGTCTACACGCACATGTTTTAAAAATGTAAAAGATCTCATTAATAACTTTGTATATGGATCGCATATTGAAATGACAATATTTTGGAAATAATAGGGCTAAATAAAAACATTATTAAAATTAATTTCATCTGTTTCTTTTTACTCTTTTTATACGGCTACTAGGATATTTTAAACCACATATGTGGCTTGCATTGCACTTTTATTGGATAGCAATTCTTGGAAGACACACAGATCTGACTGCAAATTACAGTCATTCACTTTCCTCCTTGCATGGCTTGGGCAAGCTAAATAACTTGGCTGGGCCTTAGCTTTCTCGTTCGTAAAGTGGAGATCCTAACAGCACCAATGATGTGGAACAGACAGGAGGAATAAATAAGCTCCTATGTTTAAATTGCCTGTATCAGTGTAAGGTATATAGTCATCACAAATAAATGCTGGCCATGACTAGTTTCTTTCTCCTCCATACAGAGAACATTCTAACCACTTTTGAAGCTTGTGGCAGTTCAGTTGGGACATCACCACTGAAGTTGCCGGTGAGTGTGGTGTACACCCGGGCACAAGGACCTTATCTGAATCTCCACATTCTCCTGCCCACTGATGGGCAAACCCTGGGCTGGCTGATATCTCCAATCTCCCTGGAGACAGCTGGCCATGTTGCAGGGAGGCTGGGGTGGCACCACCACTGGGTGACCCAGTCTCCCTCCTGCCCCCAAAAGGATATCTCTTCTAAAAGTGGATCGTTGAGACCTCACCACTGTCCTTCTACTGTGAGTGTCTCTGGATAGACAGAAAGGCACTGTGAGCCCCAGGTCATGGTCATCTGAGGTCATCTCTGGAATGCTGTGAGCTCCTCTTCCTCCCCTTCCTCAACTCTTCTCCATCCCTGCTGTTGGCAGAATAACAGAACCCTGGCCGCCAGAGATGCAAGTGGGTGCCTTGTCTGTGTGTGTGATGATGCGAGTATCGGTGCATATTTAAGATGTGTCTGTGTCCAACCTGGGCACCTGTGAGTGTGTGGTGTGTGTCCTCCCTGCTCTCCCAGACTTTTCTCCTCAGCCACGCTGAGAGGGCGACTTTGAGGAGGCCACAGGCCCAGCAACACCAGCATGGCTGCAGCTGCCTCTGTGACCAGCCTGGCAGATGAGGTCAACTGTCCCATCTGCCAAGGCACCCTGAGGGAGCCGGTCACCATCGACTGTGGCCACAACTTCTGCCGTGGCTGCCTCACTCGCTACTGTGAGATTCCGGGTCCAGACCCTGAGGAGTCCCCCACCTGCCCACTCTGCAAGGAGCCCTTCCGCCCTGGTAGCTTCCGGCCCAACTGGCAGCTGGCCAATGTGGTGGAGAACATTGAGCGCCTCCAGCTGGTGTCCACACTGGGCTCGGAGGAGGAGGATGTCTGCCAGGAGCACCGAGAGAAGATCTACTTCTTTTGTGAGGATGACGAGATGCAGTTGTGCGTGGTGTGCCGTGAGGCTGGGGAGCACGAGGCCCACACCATGCGCTTCCTGGAAGATGCGGCAGCTCCTTATAGGGTAGGAGAGGGGGCCTGGGGATCCCACAGTGGTTAGTGAGACTAGACTGCACTAAGAGAATCAGAACAGAGTTGTAGATTATTGAGCCTGCCCTGGGGCCGAATTCTTTCTCCTTGCTTATATGATCACCCAGGCAATGAATCCAGGCATAGAAAATCATGTGTTTATGTTTAATGTTTTCGAGTGTGTTCTGTGTTGTTTACTTGTAGGCAGTGCATAATGGGAACTCAGTAAATACTTGTTGAATGAATGGGTGAACACAACATGCATGTGTGTCTGTGTGCTATATCAGGTGTATCTAAGATTTGTATTTGAGAAAGTGATTGCACAAATAATGTGTATATTTGTTAATGTTTGCATGCGGATAAGCATGTACAGTGTGTTTGGGTGGGGGCCTGAGTATATATGTTCTTGATTGTGTAAGTGTAACTGTTTGAGAGTTCCTGTTTCTAAATAAATTAGTGTTTACATATATGCAGGTTGGGTAAATATATGTGGCGTGTCATTTTATTTGTCATTAAATGAGTGTGTGGTGGTTTTAGTTATTATGTATTGTGTTTTAGTACAAGTGAATTTCTTTTTTCTTTTTTTTTTTTTTTTTTTTGTGTTGGAGTCTCACTCTGTCGCCCAGACTGGAGTGCAGTGGCCGCTCCCAGCCACTGCAGCCTCGACCTGCTGGGCTCCGGCGATCCTTCCACCTCAGCCTTCCAAGTAGCTGGAATTACAGGCATGCGCTACCACGCCCGGCTGATTTTTTTGATTTATTGTAGAGATGAGGTCTTGCTGCCCAGGCGGGTCTCGAACCCGTGGCTCAGGCAATCCACTCACCTCAGCCTCCCAAAGGCGCGTGATTACAGGCTGAGCCACCGAACCCGGCTACAAGTGGATTTCTTAATTAGTTAGCAGTTGATGGTGAGAGTGCCATATGTATTTCTGAACATAAATATGAACTTTTCATTTATTCATATAAGAAACTTTTATGTGTGTAACCTGTTCCTAACTCTATTTTAGAGAGAACAAGTCATAGAATAAATCATCAATTATTTTTGCATTATCCAAGTTTCTTCTCTCCTCCAGAATCTTACTTAGATAATTGATTCTAGTAGCAAGGAAAGGTTGCCATTTGCACATGTTCCCTCTAAAATGTGTTGAAAACTTGGAATAATTTCAGTGAAGGGAATATCAAGCTCAGGACATATCCCATATACCATTCACCAGAAGCAAAAGAAAGTAAGATGTTTAATTTGAAGAAAGGCTCAAGTGGGGAAACCAAGTCACAGCCTCTAAGGGCACATAATAAAGGGGGAAAGAGCCCTGATCAAAATCCTTGAAACACAAAGCAAGAAGAGCAAAACACAAAGAGAGTAAGCTGTCAGGTGGTGAAAGCTCAGACATTGTCAGCTACGGGAGAGACTTCTTTCCTGGGGTCACTGCATTCCTGGAGGCAGGGGATTAGATGAGATGACACCTCTGAACAAATCATTTTTTCCATCTTAAGTATTTTGTGCTCCATCTCCCCAGGAACAAATACAAAAATGTCTTAAGTGTCTAAGAAAAGAGAGAGAAGAAATTCAAGAAATTCAGTCAAGAGAAAATAAAAGAATACAAGTCCTCCTGGTAAGTTATCACCCCTTCACCAGGTCCCTCCCCTTTCTCAGGTTTCGGTGTTTCCCTGAAAGTGGGCAACATAGCATTTGGTGCTTTGAAGTCATTCTGAGTTTGAGACTTGACTCTGACCCTAACTATATAACCCAAGCAACTCTCTATTTCAGTTTACTTATCTGTAAAATGGAGGTTAAAAATCATCACTACCTCACTGAATTGCTGTAAGGATTAAATGAGATTGTGCCGTAAAGTAGTTTAGGGTTGTACTCGCTTCATATAAGATAGGAGGTAGTGTGTCCCCACCACCTCCCCCTATACCTGCTCTGAGCCCTACCTCCTTCAGAAGCTCCAGTAGGTGGTGCTGGGGCAATGCCGGACAGTCTAATTCCCAGAAATGAAATGGCAGGTGGAAAGAATAACATGCTGCAGCTCCAAATCTGCCTGGGGACCAGAGAAGTGTATGTGTTGGTGGGGGGGGGGGGC